ACCGCCCAGTTCCCTTGCCTTTCCCCTGCCGCCCCCCCCCCCCAAGGCTTCTGTTGTGATACCTGTAGATGCAAGTTCAAAGGATTCCTGTCATCCCCTGCCGCCCCCCCATCCCCTTCCTAAAATAAGGTATCCTTTGCCTTTTTAAAGCTTATTTTCAGGCCCTTTTATTTGTCTGGATGTGTTTAATTGACAACATAAGTGACTATGGGGAAGGAACTTGTTTTAGTACTAGAAAGTTCTAAGAAAAATACATAGTTCTGAAAACCATTTCCTTTTGGTGGGCTGAGTTTCTTTGTCCCTCAACAGTTTGGGAGTATATTTGTTTTAGGAATAGCATGGAATATGAGCATTTGTGGATGCTGAAGAATATGGGGTGAGATAAAACAGCAGTTAAACTGTAATGAAATGCTGAGTATTAATGGCTTCCCTGTGCAAGTTTTGTGTTCTGCCTGTAGGATTTCTTTCACTGGAGCCTTCTGAAGAGGTCTCAGGCTTTTTCTGAACTTGTTAATTGTTTTTGCTGACAGTGGGAATCTAGTGGTGGTGGTGGAGATGATGTCTTTTCAGAATAATTTCCTGTTTCTTATGGAAGAAAACAGAGTAATACATCAGACTTGTATCTACCTTAATTATACATCTTGAAGTAATTTTGTTACATCATGATGAAGATGTTTGTCCCATACAAAAGCATATGAGAGACTTTTGTTTTAAAAATAGTGAAAAATATTATTTGTATTTTATGTGTACTTAGTCCAACCTTTGTTAGTTGCTTTAGGCAAAAGTCACCAGATTCCATAACCTTGCAGCTCAAGTTCAAGCCATTTTGTTTAAGATGAGGGTTGACATGGCCGGAATTATGAAGAATTTGGAGTTCATTCACCAAAATAACCTGGAGGAATGACTTCTGTTCAGTAGAACAGTCTGTTGCCTGGCAATACTGGAACTGGAGAATTTTAAGTCTTTTGCAGGGATGTGCTGTGGACTCTAAAATGATCATTAATGACAATGAAGTCAAATACCAAATGTTTTTATTGGGGCACTTTAAAAACATAATGAACCTTGCCCTTCTGTTTCATACTCTGTAGTAATGTTAGTTGCTAAGGCATTTTTCTGTTTGACCAGCTACTTTCATTGCACTACTGTTAGTAGTTATGCAATTTATCAGTACCTCCAGGTCTCTGCCTGCTTTCTTGTGGCTTCTTATTTGTCTGCATCCAACTTCATCCTGTCTTCAAGGCTTTCTCTTCCCTTTCCTTCTTTAGTAACTCTTCTTGTGTGACAGTCACTAGTTTTATGACTTTCTGTTCAAATACTGAAGATGTTGAACCAGAATGATAGTAATATCTAAACAAACTTTGCAGAGGAGTTTGAAACATTCTGCCAAATTCTTTAAACATGAATAAAATTATAAATAAGATTAAATGCATGTAACTCAGGAATAGTGACTAGAAAAAGGGAAACATCACACCCCTTTTAAAAAGGAGGACCCTGGGAACTACCAACCAGTCAGCCTCACCTCTGTGCCTTCTAAGATCACGGAACAAATCCTCCTAGAAGCTATGTGGAGGCATATGGGTGACAGAGCAGTGATTAGAGACAGCCAACATGGCTTCACAAAGGGCAAATCGTGCCTGACTAATGTGGCAGCCTTCTACAATGGGGTGGCTGTTGGTAGGTAAGAGAAAAGCAGCTGTTATCATCTACCATGACTTATGTAAGGCCTTAGACACAGTCCCATGCAATAGCCTTGGAAAGATGGGTTTTATGGATGGCCTATTAGATGGATGAGGAATTGACTGGATGGCTGCATTCAAAGAGTTGCCGTCAATGTTTCAATCTCCAAATGGAGATTAGTAATCAGTGCTGTCCCTTGGGGGTCTGTATTGGGACCAGTACTGTTCAATATCTTTATTAATGACATAGTGGGATTGAGTGCACCCTCAGCAAGTTTGTAGAGGACACCAAACTGAGTGGTGCAGTGGGCGTGCCTGAGGGATGGGATGCCATTCAGAGGGACCTGGACAAACTCGAAGTGGGCCCATGTGAACCCCATGAGGTTCAACAAGGCCAAGGGTGAGGTCCTGCACCTAGGTCAGGGCAATCCCCAATATCAATACAGACTGGGTGATGAATGGTTTGAGAGCAACCCTGCAGAGAAAGACTTGGGGATATTGGTAGATGGAAAAATTGGATGTGAGCCAGCAATGTGCTCTTGCAGCCCAGAAAGCTGACCATATCCTGGGCTGCATGAAAAGCCGCATAAAAAGAAGTGAGGCCAGCAGGTTGAGGGATGTGATTCTCTCCTTCTTCTCTGCGCTTGTGAGACCCCATCTGTAGTAGTGTCCAGTTTTTGGGTCTCCAGTAGAAGACAGACATGGACCTGTTAGAGTGGGTCCAGAGGAGGGCCATGGAAATCGTCAGAGGGCTGGAACATGTCTCCTGTAAAGAAAAGCTGAGAGAATTGGGATTCTTCAGACTGCTGAAGAGAAGGCTTTGGAGAGACCTTATTGCAGCCCTTCAATATACAAAGTGAGCTTATAAGAAAGACTGAGAGATACTTTTTACCAAGGCTTGCTTGTAGTCACAGGACAAGGGGCAGCAGCTTTAAACTGTAAAAAGGTGGGTTTAGATTGAACATAAAGAATAAATTCTTTACTATGAAGGCGGTGAGATGCTAGAACAGGTTGCCCAGAGAAGTTGTGGGTGCCCCATCCCTGGAAGTGTTCCAGGTCAGGCTGGACACGGCTTAGAGCAACCTCATCTAGTGGAAGATGTCCCTGCCCACAGCATGGAGGTTGCACCTAGATGATCTTTAAAGGTCCCTTCTGACCCAAAGGTCAGAACAGTCAAAGGTGTTTCTGACCCTGTCTGATGCTGACTACAGGTGATGCACACAAGAATAATCTGCTCAGATACTCTTCCCACTATTCAGTGATCTGCAGCTCAGGTCATCCTGAGCGAGAAGTGGGATTTTTTAATTTTTTTTTTATATTTAATAATCCTTGATGCATTTCTTTTGTTCCGTGAATTTGTCTTTTTTGAGTCCGTGTAAATTTTTTACATATTCAATACTTGTCTGCAATAATTTGTGTCTTAAGTTTTGTGTAAGACACATTTTTATTTAATGTTCTCAAACTCCTGCATTATGAAAAATTAAATGATGTGATTCACTTTTATACCGCTCATGGTATTCTATTATCTCTATCACAAATGCTAGTTATTGAGGGAGGGGAAAGTGTTTAGTCTGAAGTCCTAGAATATTATGCTTACATTGCTGAACGAAAGAAAACACATTTTCATGACAACATGTAACCTGTGGGTCTCCTTGCTCGCTTTAATGTGATAGTGAGTATGTGTAGATGCAGAACTCAGTGAGTTATGTAGCTAAGCAAGGAGGGACGCCTATAGGTGGTAACAAGGTGAAAAGGGTTTAAAATAGCCACAGTATATACAAGCAAACATAAATACCAAGGGTAGAAGTCAAAGGAGCTGAAGGATGGTGGTTGCATGATCTTTTTATTTGAATAACATCCACTGTTTCCCTGGATGTTCATTGGCAAACAAGCTGCAGCAAATACCTTGAAAGAAACAAGCTGCAAGCTATGGAATCTGCAGTGAAAATATAAGTACAAAGAACTGAGCTATTTTCCACAAAACCAGAAAAAATCTAGGAGTTTTTCTTAGTTTGCTACTTCATAGTGTTACTTGGCGTTCTGAGGGTATAGTTGGGAGGAGTATAGAAATTTAGCATACTTTTTCCAAAGTCATGAAAGGTCACTTGCAACTGTTCTCAGGTTGCCTTGAGCTGAGAGTTGTTGCAGAAC